AAACAGAGGAGGATGTCTGCTATCAAAACGTGTCACATTAAGGATTCCTCAGCTCCTCTGGGTCTGTCAGACCTGTTAGCTGAAGTGGAACAAATCCTGCAGGAGAAACTAAACTCTGTCTCTTTTAGTTTTAAACACTTTCTGTGGATTAAAACAATACAGTCTTATAATTATTTACTGTTCTGTTCGGCCACGCCCACCTGCACCTGATCCTAGCTGAGCCTGAACAGGTGTTGGTGGTTCCAGTAGTTGGTCTTTATATTCTCTGTTGATCCGTCTGTTCCTCAGTCCGATGTTCTACACTTCGTTTGTGTCTAATAGTTCTCCCTGTAAGGTTTGTCTGCCTCTGTAGCATTTTGATTTTGTTATTAAATTGAGTTTAGTTTTAGAAAAGAAGCATCTGTGAGAGGTGTTTGGGTCAAAAATCATCTATGACACTTTCATCTCTACAGATTCTGGCTGTGTCTCCATTGCAGGAAGTAAAAACTGCCGTGTTTCCCTCTGTTGATTTAGCCGCTAAATCAACAGAAGGAAACAGGCATTTAGACGCTAAATTTTAGCATCTAAATGCCTAAATTCTGTGCCGTGTACGGTTGTTGTAACCACTCGAATTGGGAGAAAGATAAACGTTCTTTTGTGTTCCCGAAGTAGCATGTCAGAAAAAAGACGACAAAAGTGGATCATTGATCTAAAACAGGAGGTGTGGACACCGGAGAGTTTGCAGCGACCACTTTCTAACAGGATCGTATCGTTTAAATCCTATTTTCAAATATTCTATTGGACAGTTATTCAAATTTGGGTTTACAGAAGCTAAATATAGATCCAAGCACACAGAAATGACAGGAATTAGAAAGAAGTCGACAGACATTTAAAGCTTCTTTGGATCCTAAATGTTTGACCCAACCTGAAACTACAGTGGTTTGCAAAAGTATTCATACCCCTTGAACTTTTCCATATTTTGTCACATTACAACCACAAACATAAATATATTTCACTGGAATTTAATGTGAAAGACCAACACAAAGTGGAATACAATTGTGAAGTGGAAGCAAAATTTTACATGAATCAAAACATTTTTTACAAATAAAAAACTGAAAAGTGCGATGTGCAAAATTATTCAGCCCCCTGAGTCAATACTTTGTGGAGCCACCTTTTGCTGCAATTACAGCTGCAAGTCTTTTAGGGTATGTCTCCACCAGCTTTGCACATCTAGTGACTGCAATTCTTGCCCATTCCTCCTTGCAAAACAGCTCAAGCTCAGTCAGATTGGATGGAGAGCGTTTGTGAACAGCAGTTTTGAGATCTTGCCACAAATTCTCAATTGGGTTTAGGTCTGGACTTTGACTGGGCCATTCTAACACATGAATATTCTTTTTTTTAAACCACTCCATTGTAGCTTTGGCTTTATGTTTAGGGTCGTTGTCCTGCTGGAAGGTGAACCTCCGCCCCAGTCTCAAATCTTTTGCTGACTCCAACAGGTTTTCTTCCAAGATTGCCCTGTATTTGGCTCCATCCATCTTCCCATCAACTTTGACCAACTTCCCGGTCCCTGCTGAAGAGAAGCACCCCCAGAGCATGATGCTGCCACCACTATATTTGACAGTGGGGATGGTGTTTTCAGAGTGATGTGCAGTGTTCTTTCTCCRCCACACATAGCGTTTTGCATTGTGGCCAAAAAGTTCAATTTTGGTCTCGTCTGACCAAAGCACCTTCTTCCACATGTTTGCTGTGTCCTCAACATGGCTTCTGGCAAACTGCAAACGGGACTTCTTATGGTTTTCTTTTAACAATGGCTTTCTCCTTGCCACTCTTCCATAAAGACCACATTTGTGTAGTGCACGACTAATTGTTGTCCTGTGGAGAGTTTCCCCCACCTGAGCTGTGGCTCTCTGCATTTCATCCAGAGTCACCATGGGCCTCTTGGCTGCCTCTCTGATCAGTGATCTCCTTGTTCGGCCTGTAAGTTTAGGTGGACGGCCTTGTCTTGGCAGGTTTACTGTGGTGCCATACTCTTTCCATTTCCGGATGATGGATTGAACAGTGCTCCGTGAGATGTTCAAAGCTTGGGAAATCTTTTTATAACCTAAGCCTGCTTTAAACTTCTCCAAAACCATATTCCTAACCTGTCTGGTGTGTTCTTTGGACTTCATGATGCTGTTTGCTCCCCAATATTCTCTTAACCAACATCTGAGGCCATCACGGAGCAGCTGTATTTGTACTGAGATTAGATTACACACAGGTGGACCCTTTTGAGTCATTAGCAGTCATCAGGCAACTTCTGAATGCAATTGGTTGCACTCAGGGAAGAGGGGGCTGAATACTTTTGCACGTCGCACTTTTCAGTTTTTTATTTGTAAAAAATGTTTTGATTCATGTAAAATTTTGCTTCCACTTCACAATTGTATACCACTTTGTGTTGGTCTTTCACATTAAATTCCAGTGAAATATATTTATGTTTGTGGTTGTAATGTGACAAAATATGGAAAAGTTCAAGGGGTATGAATACTTTTGCAAACCACTGTAAGTAATTGTAGCTTTGAGGCTTTTGAAACCTTTTATCTGACTCATCGTATAATACGAGCTCTGCAGCACCAGACAGTTTGTCAATCACCTCGACGCCAGTAAATCCTACAGATTTAGCAGCTATTTCATTGAGACAATATGGATCAGATCCTAAATGTATGCAGATTTTTTGTGTGATATCTCATCTGTACCAGAACATTTAGGACATTATACTCACTGTGATCTGTGAGAACTGAACTCTAGTGAACTGTGTTCGATTGATAACAGGTTGGACTCTGGAGGTCTCTGATTGGTCCCGGCACTTTGTCCTTGATGTCACCGGTTCCTCTGCAATCCCTTCCCCCATCCATATTTGCCCCCCCTTCCTGCTCAGCTGCCTCTGCTCCTGTTAGCAGAGTAGTTTTTTTGTGTGATGCTCATGTGTTTTCTGTTTTTGTATTAAACACAGGATCAAAGCTCTTTTTTTAAACTCATCCTTCCTATGTGTGTGTGTTCTAAACTGCAAGGTAGCGCACTACGCTGCGCGGGGCCCTGCACATTCATTCCCCTGTGTCTGTCGTGTGTGTGTTTCTCCGGACGGATATTCAAAACTACAAATTTCGTTCTGCATTGCATCTGATGTTGTATGAATGACAAACGATTCATGATTTTTCTGTCTTGAACCGGAGCAAATCACTTCCTTCCCCCCATCTGAATTTCATGCATCATCCAGGTCACATGACTGCAACCCAACAATTCATGTGTTACAGAAAATGCTCTGAAAACACTGAAAATGCTGAAAACGCTCTAACTTTGTGCACAAAACGAGTTCTCATAGCTCTTGTGTAATTTTGTCGCACAATTACACAGATGACCGCAGATTTCTCCAGTTTTTGAGGGTAAATAATTTCTAAACACTAGTGTGACAAACCTTCACATCATGTTACTTTTTCTGGACTAAAACTGTTTCTCATATTAACCAGATTGTAGTTTTATGCCTCATATTAACCAGCTGACAATAGGAAGCCATTCTATGGGACTGATAACACCTAATAACGTCCATTTCATGGATGATAACATCCGAAGCGGGTGCTTTATTTCTGCTTCATATTAAAAACTGAACGCTCATCACTAAACCTGCAGTGAACTAATTAAACATCAATATTCAAGATCCTTTGTCCTTCAGGAGGGATGTGTTGCAGCCAGAGATAAAACACATAAATACAAGACATCAAGATCAGAAATGTTCATTAAGAAGTCTGATTACTGCAGGTAGAAAAGAGTTTTTTAGTTTTTTTGTCCTACATCTTAGCAACAAATGTAGGACAACAAACAATTTGTTGCTTCTTCAACATCAACACTTCCTCTCATGTCAAACCCTGGTGGTGTGAGCTCAGCCTCCACAAGAATCGTTTGTGTTTTAATTCTTCTGGGAACAGCTGGATGTGTTGAATCACAGCAGGAAAAAAACATCCCTCTAAGTTCCAAACTCCATTAATATTCCAAACTCCTGTCTGTAAAACAGCGAATCTCAGCTGGCTTCATCCTCTAAATAATTCACTCGTTGAAATCTTTTCTTTCTCCTGAAGTCTCGGTGACGCTCGCAGTGAAGAGGAGCAGAAAACACAGGAAGAGGAGAAGACGAAGAAAAACATAAAACATAAGTTTTATTTTATATCAGTGACTTTTTAAATTCAATTAGAGGACAAATCAGATTGAGGAATTATAATTTGTTTTTGTTGATCATTTGAGATTAACATAGAAGAAACTAATAGTTTACTTTTTTATGTTTCTTCTCATTATTTGCAGCAAACAAATTTTTAGGCAGCTGACTATTTTGACTCTTTTGCCATTTTATTAATTTTATTGTGTTCAGGGGTGTGAGAGTTACATCAAACTAAACATAAAATTGATACATTTAATATATTTAATGAACAGAAATCTTCCTGCAGATCACAGGGAAATAAAATACATTGAGGAAGACAAAGTTTTATTTTGATTTGATGTTTTTGCTGTTTGAGCCTAATTTAATCAGAATGTTTTGGATCAGTGAACCTTCTGTTTCACCTGTCGGTCATTCACCTGCTCCTAAAACACCTCCCAGTAAAAAAGCTTCCCACTCTTCACTGGGTTTTGTTTCTGTTTCCTGTTTAAAGCAACTCGCCTTCATCCACAAGCTGCCTTTCTAACATGTAAAACCTTTTTTTTTTCAGTTTTCAAGTCTTTTCCGTGGATTTAAAGTCAAGAACCTTAAAATCAGTTGAATTTGAAACTCATTTTTCTAGTTTTGAACGGGTTGTCAATTATCTGGAGAATAAAGAAGGCAGATGTTTTTCTTCAGGTTTTACAGATGTTTATAAAACGGTATTTTTTCTCGGATGGATCCTCTGAGTTTTTTTTTATTTTTTTTGTGACGCATTTTCTGTCCTCAGTATCAGAAATAAACGCGCTGCATCACAGACATGAGACCGGAACACACACACATACACACGCGCGCGCGCGCACGGACCTGAGCTCGTGCTGCTTTCAGCTGCTTCTGATTGGAACTGAGAGATTTGGAGTTTTTCCTCGTTTTTTAGCTGAACTTGTTTGTGTTGATGAACCTGTTCTGGAGCTGAATTCTGAATCTTTTGTCGGAGGGAAACCGTGATGATGTGAGAGGAAAGGTTGACGCGTCTCCGTGTTTTTCCTCCATCTTTGGAGCTAAAGACTGATTCTTTGTGTGATTAGATTTTTTTAAATCACTTCCCAGGAACTTGTGGTTCTTTTGGCTTTAAATGTGGATGAAGCAGGATCCTTCAGAGGGAACTTGCATGTTCGGTTCCTCCTCCTTCCAGCTGAAACCCGAACCTCCTGCAGCGCGGACCGGTGCGCCCCGAGGTGCTGCGGGTGGAGCAATGAAACCATCCAGGAACTGAGGTGGAGGTAAAAGGACCAGTTTGTGTCTCCACGGCTCTGATTCTGTTCAGAACAGAGGAATATGGGTGTAAATGTAGCGAGGGGCACCATGGCGCGATTTTTGTGCGTAAAAGTGCCCAAAGTGCGCAAAAAAAAAAGTTCATTTACGCGCGTAAATCACGAGATAAAAGGAAAGTCTGGCAGGAAAAATCCCACAAAGAAAAACACAATTAAGCATCAGATGTTTAAATTAAGACAAAAAATTGACCTCAAACAACTTTTCAAATAATTTTTTATTTGTTCTTTGAAAAAAAAACTAGTTTTTATTTTCTGTCAGTCATCAGTTTGTTTCAGTGATTTTTTTTCAACTAGTTGTTTAAAATGTTTAATTTGGGAATTAATTATAAAGATTTTTGTGTCAAACAGCATCACGGTGGCTTGATTATTGTGGAATTTTCAGTTCTGTTTGAGTGAAAATGTGATCAAATTGAAAAGATATGAATGAGCTCAGTCCTGCAGATTCCAATCATTACATCTCTAAAATGAACAGGTCATTGTCAGATAATCTGAAGATGTGGTGGATTAGTAAAAGATAAATCAGTGAAGTTAAGTAAATATAATTAACTTTTACCAAAGTGAAGCTTTATGGAGTCGGAGAAAGTGTTTCTGTTGATCAGAAAAGATTTATTTCACTTTAAATTGATTGTTTTTTCATTAATCATGAGTGGAGAATCAGGGGCTAATCCCTCAGATTAATAGCCTTTTTAAGAATAAACTGGTTGCGTCATTGACCTACAAGTATGGTGGAAATATGTTTCCTTCACTCTGACTAAACTCTAACCTCTCCATCATTTAATCAGTTTGTGGAAAAAGTCAATTTGTTCAGAATTCCTGTCAAATATTATTTCACCTGAAAGAACCAGAATAAACTAAAGTTCATGTTATTCTTGGTTATTATCATTAAAATATTCTCTTTACTTCCACTGCCTCTGTTTTATCTTTCCTTCTCTTGGCTCCTCTGATATTTGTTTCTTTATCTTCTTGTCATTTTTTTCATCACATTATTCTTTTCACTGATCATAATGTTCCTCATTAATCTTTTCTCCCTTTTGTTTGTTTGACCTTCCTGTCTTCATCATCCTCCTTTCATCTGTTCTTTTCTCCTCCTCCTCCTCCTCGCTGCAGGTGGTTGATGGGGAGGATTTCGAATGTCAGCCGGGACAGTGGTCATTGCAGGAGGAATTCTGGCTACAGTCATTTTACTGACCATCGTAGCCGTGTTGTGTTTATGTAGGTTACAGGTACGACTTCTTCAAAAAATGTTTTAAACCAAAAAAATTTAAAAAAATCATTGTCATTTAAAAATCATCACAGACACTTTTGTAATTAAGTGCAACATTTTGGGCGGTTACTGATATTGTGGAAAATGATTGATTTGTTGCCACACACAGTGATGGGTGAGACTTTCAGCTGCTCACACATCAAACTTTAGCTTAATATTTGTATTATTTACAGGTTTACAGTGGTTTTTGTGTTTGCTAAGGTCAGTTATCTGTGACAACCATTTTGAATCAAGCTGACTTCAAAAGTAAATTAGTTGTAGATCTGTTTAGTAAAATGTCAAATGATTTGAGATAATTTGCTAACAGACAGTGTTGACTCAGAAAGTTAAAGCCAATATTTTGAAGGGATCCATTATAACATTAGACTTTATTTGATAATCATTTATTTTTACTGTAAAATAAAGACTGTAAAAATACTGTTGGCTGATTAATTTTTTATCATTTTTAAACTAAAAGTTTCAAAATATATTTTAACGGACAGAGCCATTTTATTTACACACAAAGCATTCTGGGTAAATGATGACGTGGATAGGTCCTCGGTGCGAGGCTGCTAGCGAGCTATATCCACCCTGAAGGTTAATCTTGGACAATATCTGATGATCGACTCTTTTAAATGAAACCAGAGAGCGTTGACAGAGAGGAGAAGGTAGAAATGACTCAGCCTGGAACTGAAAATATGTATGGATGGAGGACAACAGAGCTGCTTCATGGAAGAAGAACCTCAGCTTAGCCGGTTAGCTTTAGCATTAGCMCMRATGYTATCACCATATAAATGTATTAGCTCGGCGCTACACATTCTCCTCTCATCACTGAGGTCCTCCATCCACATGACAGAGAGGGGAACACAAAAATGACTCAGCTTCAACTGAAAATATGGATGGAGGACCTCAGTTTAGCTTGTTGAGCTAATACATATTAGGCAAAATAGCATGGGCGCTAGCGCAAAGACTAACAGGCTAAACTGAAGTACTCCATTTCAGTTACAGGCTGAGCCATTTCTACCTTCTCCTCTCTGTCAACGCTATCCACGTCATCATTTACCTAGAATGCTTTGTGTGTAAATAAAATGGCTCCGTCCGTGTTAAAATATATTTTTAAAAATTTGCAAAACTAAACAGCCTACAGTATTTTTAGTCTTTATTTACAGTTAAAATAAATATTTATCAAATAAAGTCTAAACTTACAACTAATCAGGGATCCCTTTAAGGAAAGATCTCAGTGGATCTGTCAGAGGTTAGACAATGTGTTGGACACGACCCTTATACTACCACACCAGATTTTAGTCCAGTATCTGTAAAAATGTCTGAGTTACACATGTGGTTGGTTTCATGTCAGGATTTTTAAAACAAACAGTGTGACTCTTTGTTTTCTGGCTGCAGTATTACTGCTGTAAGCAGGAGGAGTCTGAAAAGGGGGAAGAGGAGGAACCAGAACTTGACACCATGTCTCCCTCTCGCCCCCTGGCTCTGTGCGCTCCTTCTACACCTCCAACGCCGGAGCAGTACAGCGACGAGCCCGAGACCTACCCCCCCACCTTTCTGACGGAGGCCAACGGACCCGCCAGCTACTCCCCACCTCCTCCACGCAGGTGCCAGCGTGCACACGCCTTCTGCCCATCCTGTGCTCGCTGCTCTGTGCCCTTCTACCTGCAGCACCCAGAGAGACTGTGCAACGGCGGGCGCAGGATCAGCTACAGGACTGTGCAGCAGCAGGACCTGGAGCTGCCCGAGGACCTGGCAAACTTCTACCAGAAGCTGCTCCGCTCCTACGCCGTGAAGGAGACGACTCAGAGCTACAGCACTGACGTCTAGCTGCTGCTGTCTGAAAACCCACTGGGACCTGAGGCAGATGCTGTAGCATTGGTCGTGATGCAGCAGCAGCATCAGGACCGACTCACGATGCTGCTGCATCAGGACCGACTCATGATGCTGCTGCATCAGGACCGACTCACGATGCAGCAGCATCAGGACCGATTCACAATGCTGCTGCATCAGGACCGACTCACGATGCAGCAGCAGCATCAGGACCGACTCACGATGCNGCAGCAGCAGCATCAGGACCGACTCACGATGCTGCTGCAGCATCAGGACCGACTCACGATGCTGCTGCAGCATCAGGACTGACTCACGATGCTGCTGCAGCACCAGGACCGACTCACGATGCAGCATCAGGACCGACTCACGATGCAGCAGCAGCATCAGGACCGACTCACGATACAGCATCAGGACCGACTCACGATGCAGCAGCAGCATCAGGACTGACTCACGATGCTGCTGCAGCACCAGGACTGACTCACGATGCTGCTGCAGCACCAGGACCGACTCACGATGCAGCAGCAGCATCAGGACNCTGACTCACGATGCTGCTGCAGCACCAGGACTGACTCACGATGCTGCTGCAGCACCAGGACCGACTCACGATGCAGCAGCAGCATCAGGACCGACTCAAGCTAGAGGAAAACATGTTTCTGTCAGACTTAAACTGAACAAGCTGTGATCAATTTATTTAATCTTCTTTAAGCCAATTAGCTAGTTGAGTTGCTACCAAGTTGTATGTAAATCAAAGTAAAACAAAAATCTTTCACTCTGAGCTCTAATTACAAGGTTTAACACATGTTCTGTTTGTTTGCACTGGACTGCAGACAGGATGTATTAAATAATATCTGTCTGTGCTTGTGGAGCTCCACTGTCAGAAAATATCAGAAACACATCTCAAAGCTTTATGAGCACACAGGTCACAGAGTATTTAGTCGTCACACAAAATCACTAAATGTAAAATATTCTGCTGCTCAATGTTCCTAAGATTTTCACTTTTTTGCTTTACAAGTCAGATTTGAGGATTTCTGACACATTTGTGGTGGAAGCTGTGTTGTTTTTAATTTATTTGACAAGTTGCAGCAGAAACATGACTAATGTACAGCTGAAGCTGTTTTTGTAGTTGTTACACAGGTGGCCCAGTTAGAACCATTAGAATATATAACGTGTTGCATTTCTAAATTTATTTTGTCATCTTTTTATTCTTTATTTTATTTTAGTTTTGGACACAAACTGTTTTGGAAGGTAAATAATGAGTATAAATCCTGACATTCTCAGCTCAGAAAAAATTTTATGATCCAGTTAATTTTTCAAACCCAAGTTTTAAATTTTTTTGTTTAGTTTGGAAAAGACTGGGACTGCTGCATCTTATTTTTTCATTGTGTTTTTAGTGTTTTAAGCGTCATAAATGTGATGATATCTTGCTGACCAGCAGGAGGCGTCAGCTGCTGCCGCTGAACTTCATGTTTCAGCTGCTGTGTGGAAGTTGATCAGTGCCAAAGATGTCACATCAGATAGAAATTAAAGCAAGTTGATTTATTAACATAAAAAAAGCCGATCTAGGAGGATGTTGAGGTCTTTTGAATTCATAAAATTCATAACAAATACTTCTATTTCTTAAAGTTAAATGTTTAAATCCATGTGCACCAAAAAAAGATGCAACTTTATGTAAAATGTATTTGCAAATCTGAAACTCATGTTTGATTTACAATGAAACACAGTAAATGTTAAAATTTGAAACAAAGACATTTTTACCGTTTAAAAAAAAATCTGAATTTGATGGCAGCAACAAATCTCAAAACGTTGTTCCAGACTCACGTTTCCCTCTTATTTTGCCAAAACATCTGGTCGTGAGGAGAGCAGTTTTTGGAGAAAAATCTTTCCCCACTCTTGTCTTCATGGTGTTTCTCCATGAGCCAGAGGCCCTAATGCACCCTCATACCATCAGAGAGGCTGATAGGACAGTTTAAACATTTGATACATTCGCTTTGTTCCATTGTGAATAAAATTAGGGTTTGTGGGATTTGAAGATCATGAAATTATATTTTATTTAATTTTTTTTACAAAACCCAAACTTTTTCAAAATGGGGATTGTAGTTTAATTCCTGATGGTTTTATGTAGCATTCAAGACTAAAAAAAGTTGCATTAATTGCAAACATCAGCTGTGAGTAATCCTTTTTTTTTTGGAAAGCTTAAAATTCTGCTACAATTTGTAAAATAAGGGCTGAATCTTCTGCACATTTCTTTCTAAACTCAGACCTGCTGTAAGTAAAAGAATAAAATAAAAATAAAAACAAGAGCAAGTTCCTTCACTTGAACTGTTTAATTAAAATACACGTCAGTACTTTTAGGTTTTCAGTTAACATGAACAGTACGCAATCTCCATACTTCCGTTTTTGTTATTTTTGGTTTTTTGTACAAAGAGGTATCAGTTATACAAAAACACAGTACATGACAGTTTAAAATGAGACATACGTGAACACATCTGAATACGTTTCAGCCATACTTCAAGTGTCAGGAATCTTCCTGCTCCGCAGAGCAGAACTGGCATCAGTTGACCCGATGAGCAACGAGGAACTGGCATCGGGACCGTCGTGTTTTTAAATGAAAAATGTGCTATGACTAATAAATACGCTCCCATGTCCTGCGGCCGAGCGGGCGCCGCTCCCAGCAGGAGGAGGTGAAACGGAAATGAGTCTGTTTCTCACGCCCTGCTGCACGCTCGTGCCGGTCGGACACTAAAATACAGTTAAATATTGTCTCGTAAACAGTATTTGCATTAAATATTCTAGCCATGCAGTATATTCAGTTGAGAAATAATTTAATCTTTTCACTGCAGCAATGAACACGACAGTCTCTGACTCCGCGTTGTTTTTTAGTGGCAGATTTGATTCACTCGACTGATAAATAATCAAAAAACAGCTGATACAAAAAGGCTAATAAAACTTAAAATCTAACATAAAATGAGGTGGAGTTTGAACAGAAACATGTCACATTCTGTTTGAAATACAGCTTCTTTCAAAATCAGTTCAATAAAATTACTTGAAATCCAAATCATCTGAGGAAGTTCTGCTTCTCAATATTCACAGTAGCTGCTGTACAACTATAGTTCCTAGATTGCACTACTACAAATCATTTTTAGAGCTGATTTTTATCTGTTTGTATAGAAATATATTTAAAAAAATCCAGACGAGTATGCAGAAATTCTTACAATTATGCCGAGCCAGTAGGTGGCGACAACGTCAACAATAACCATTTGACAAAACAACAAGAAACAAAAAACATTCTGAGTTTTAACTGCTGAGCTAATACTTGTTTTTTTTTATGGAAGACTGAAACTGACATAATTAAAATAAAAGCAGAAATATATAAAGGTAGTAATAAATAAAAAAATACAAAAATTGCACTATTTATTTATTTATTTTGTTTATTTATTTATTTTTTAGGGGTGCAACAATACATGTACCCATATCGAACCGTTCAGTACAGAGCTTTAGGTTCAATACACAACATATATTGAACAATACAGATTTATTTAATATTTATTTTATCAGCTTGTCTTCTGAAGATGCTCTGTGTTGAAGGATCAGTGGATCTGCGTTCGACTACTCCACCTAGGCTGCATTTACAAGTATTTCAGCAACGTTTAAATTAAAAACTGTACTTTTGAGGTTAAACAAATGTTCTTACTTGATTTGAATAAATTACAAGTTCAAAAGGGGCATGGAAATTTTGCTTTTTTGTATTGAAAAAATATCGAACCGTGAGACTAAAGTATCTAACCGAACCGTGAATTTTCTGTATTGTTGCACCCCTAATAATAATTATATATATATATGCACTCATTTTTTTATAACGGGTGCATTTTAAGTGTATTTGTTTATTTATTGGGCCATTTGCATATTCTGATCTTATTTTAATTGTGTCAGTTTTGATCCTCCATAGTTTGGCAGCAATTTTAAGGCTAAAATAGTAGCTGCTGAATGTGACTCTTGAATTAGATGATTAAGGAAAGCAGTGGACATGTATAAGGTCAGCTGCAGGATCATCGTTTCTCAAAATCCTCCATTTCTTACATTCTGAGATGAATAAAATTAAAAGAAAGTTCTCACGTTAGAAATAATTATTTGAAAATCTCACGTTTTCCCTCAACAAAAGCACTGTTTTCATGTCTGAATGGTGCAAAAAGCAGCAGGAAAAGTTAGTTCTGTGTTTGTGTGGACAGAAAGTTTTACACGTTTCCTCATGTCGGAGTTCAGAGTCAGGGTGGAGAGAGGCTACAGCGCCGACCCGGACTAAGAGGTGGAGGGCCGGACAGCGCGGCAGGAGTGGCAGCAGGCCTTGCTGTAGTACCAGTGACTGCACAGGTTCACCTTCAGGGCCAGCAGGCAGTTGGTGGAGGGTCGGTCCTGGCAGCTCTCATCTGGGACAAAAATCAGGTGGAAAACATTTCATCTAAACTAACAGCTGGTGCTTCGTTTGACAGCAAGTTGAGGGAAAAATACACATTTTAATTTGTTTTGATTTCTTTAAATTACTTCTGCAATGTTTCTCAGGGGTTTGATTTATTTAATTAGCGTTGATTGATAGTTTGCTAAGCTCTGTTACCAGGACCGGCCTATCATTAATCAGATCAATAGCTGGCTTAGGAATAGTTATAGCCTCCTACTACAAGGATGTAACAACTGGTTGCACAATAATCTTAATTTTGGCCCTCATCCTGTGCCATAGGACCTGCTGGTGTCCGATGTTACCTGGAGGCTCGGTGGGGCAGGGCTGCAGGGTGCAGGTCTGTTTGGCCACCGGTTTGGTGAGGGGGTCACAGCCCCGGACCAACTCCCTGCCTTGGTAGCACTTGACGTCCCTCATCCTCACTCCAACGCCACACGTCTTCGTGCACTGAGGAAACACAAGGTCATAACTGCTGATTGATCTTAGAAAAGAGGAGAACAGTGACTACATCTTAGACAGGCCCTACAATCATTAGCAGATCTTTCAAAATCTCATAATAGTCTGTGTAATCATGTTATTTTCAGGATTAGGCTGTATGGATTTAACGTGGCTACATGATTGCTAAACTCTGTCAGTTCTTCAAATATTCAGCAAAGATTTGGTGTATTATTGGCTCATTCCTGACAGACTCTGAGAGCTAACATGTCATGCAAGAGCTTTCTTTAAACCCTTAAAACCAGTTAACATTCAGCGGAACGCCCGCGTGCTGTTTTTGTTTCGTTTTATTTTGTAATGTTGTTTCTGTGTTTCCCTTCAACCTGTGTCCGTGTGCAATGCATCAAAATTGACGTCTAGGCCCTCCCCTTTCAATTGACACCTCATTTGACCAACTGGGTTCAAGTTTCAGCTGTCCAGAGCCAATAATATATGAGAAGTGACCAACTTAAGGTTTCCATCATCCTGAGCTTGATTGACTGTAGATTCGGCCAGGCAGCTCCAAGCTTCATTCTGATGCCACAGCTGTGTAGCCAATCACCGTACCTTCACTTGGTGTACATATACAGTATATATTGAG